GCCTATAACGGGGCCTGACGGGGCCTATAACGGGGCCGTACGGGGCCGATAACGGGGCCTTGCGGGGCCTATAACGGGGCCTGACGGGCCTTACGGGGCCTTAAACGGGGCCAAATGGGGCCTGACGGGGCCGTACTGGGCGTCTAACGGGGCCTGTCGGGGCCTAACGGGGCCTTAAACGGGGCCGAACGGGGCCTGACGGGGCCTTACGGGGCCTTACGGGGCTAACGGGGCCTTAATCCGCGCCCTAAACGGGGCCAAATGGGGCCTGACGGGGCCGTACGGGGCCTCTAACGGGGCCTGACGGGGCCGTACGGGGCCTCTAACGGGGCCTGTCGGGGCCTAACGGGGCCTTAAACGGGGCCGAACGGGGCCTGACGGGGCCTTACGGGGCCTTACGGGGCCTTAATCCGCGCCCTAAACGGGGCCTAAAGGGGCCTTACGGGGCCTAACGAGGCCTTAAGGGGCCTTACGGGGCGGGCGCAGGCTCTAAGGGCGGGCGCAGGGGCCGTGACGGGCCTCGAAGGGAAGGTGCGAAGCGCGCGGCAAGTAGGCAGGGGAGGAATTTCAGTGGTGGGCCCTTAGAAAAAATCTCGAAACTAGCTCTATACCATGTGAGAATGATAGACGAAAGAATGATTGAATTAGGAAATGAGAAGGGTACAAGTAGGAAACACATAAGTGTTGTACCCTCTAAGGACTACCCCACTACAGCCTAGACCGACTATAGTAAATATATGTTTGACACTTCCTCCTCCCTTCCTGTGTCCACCGCCTGACCAGTCGCAGCCGCAGTTACAGCCAGCCTCCCCACTGCCTGTTCCCTCTCCTTACACTGAGCAGTCCGGAGGTCTTACAGAGCGTCGTGAGCCAGCGTCTCGTCCTGTCTCACCTGTTCGCACTGCTCGTCGCGCTCCTCGTTCGCGTCCTCCCCCTGTCCCAGGCACGCACACCATGGCACTCCGTCCTTCCTCTGTTCCACTGCGTGTTCCTCTGCCTGCTCCTCCTGAGTCCTCTCTTCCTGAGGTCCCTGACCCTGAGTCTGACCGAGCGCGTGCTGCCAGTCCCACTGTCGCTCGTCTCCTTGCCACTGCTGTCACTGACTCGTCCTTTGAGTCTGCTGCTGCTTCTGCTCTCGTTGCTGAGCTACTTGACTTCGCTGCTGCCTGCCGTCTCGACTACGCCTCTGCTCTAGTTGCTGAGTCTGTGCCTGTCAGTCCTCCGTCCGTCGGGGTTGAGTGTGCTCTTGGCACGGACGTCCTTGAGGACAGGCAGGAGGACTTTGAGTGTCTTGCAGCTGCTGTACCTCGTTTCGCCTCCTTGCTGCTTGCCCCTGAGGGAGACCCGGATGCTCCTGACATCCCGACCCCGCGCTCTTACGCAGAGGCGATTACGGGTCCTTACTCCTCTCAGTGGCAGGCAGCAATGGATGCTGAGATGGCATCCTGGAAGTCCACAGGCACTTACGTCGACGAGGTTCCCCCACCTGGGGTGAACATAGTCGATGGCATGTGGATCTTCAGGGTGAAGCGGCCGCCGGGTTCTCCGCCTGCCTTCAAGGCGCATTACGTTGCTCGAGGTTTCAGTTAGTGACAGGGAGTTGACTACTTCCAGACCTTCTCCCCCACCCCGAAGATGACTACTCTTCGGGTGTTGCTGCACGTAGCTGCTCAGCGTGACTACGAGTTACACTCCCTGGACTTCAGTACTGCCTTCCTGCAGGGCAGCCTGCACGAGGAGATCTGGCTGCGCCGACCACCTGGTTTCACTGGGTCGTTTCCTACAGGTACCCAGTGGAGCCTCCGCCGGCCAGTCTACGGTCTCCGCCAGGCGCCTCGCGAGTGGCACGACACACTCAGGACTACACTTGCGGCTCTTGGGTTTGTTCCTTCTACAGCAGACCCGTCGCTGTTTCTACGCACCGACACCTCGCTGCCGCCCTTCTACGTCCTAGTGTACGTCGACGACCTCGTCTTTGCCACGGCTGACACTGAGGCACTGACCCTAGTGAAGTCCGAGCTGCAGAAGAGACATACCTGCACTGACTTGGGTGAACTGCGCAGCTACCTTGGCCTGCAGATCACCCGGGACAGAGCACGGCGCACCATCACACTGACTCAATCACACATGGTGCACCAGGTCCTTCAGCGCTTCGGCTTCCAGTACTCCTCGCCACAGCTCACTCCTCTGTCTACCAGCCACTCGCTCTCAGCTCCACCTTCGGACGAGTCCGTAGAGCCGAGTGGTCCGTACCCAGAGCTTGTGGGTTGCCTCATGTACCTGATGACTTGCACACGACCCGACCTCGCGTACCCTCTCAGCCTTCTGGCTCGCTACGTGGCTCCTGGTAGGCACCGAAAGGTGCACTGGGATGCTGCGAAGAGGGTATTGCGTTACCTGTGCAGTACGTCGGGCATGGGGCTTGTGCTTGGAGGACGGGGTCCTGTTGTCCTCACTGGTCACGCAGACGCCTCCTGGGTTGACGACTCAGCTACGCAGCGGTCGTCACAGGGTTACACCTTCAGCCTTGGGTCCGGCTCGGTTTCTTGGCGGTCTACCCGCTCGTCTTCAGTTCTCAACTCCAGCTGTGAGGCTGAGATCTACGCCGGAGCCATGGCTGCTCAGGAGCTACGCTGGCTCACCTACTTGCTGACCGACTTGGGAGAGCAGCCTCGTTCGCCTCCAGTCCTGTACGTAGACAACAAGGCAATGATAGCCTTGTGTCAGGAGCACAGACTGGAGCACAGAACGAAGCACATCGCTCTGCGATACTTCCTTGCTCGAGAGTTACAGCAGCGTGGTCAACTTCGTCTAGCGTACGTGGCCACTCGGGCCAACACTACTGATGTCTTCACCAAGGCACTTCCGCCTGGTGACCATCAGCGCTTTGTTACTGTGTTAGGCCTTGTGTCTACTTTGCCTCACTTACTTAATGCCTGACTCTGCCTGTACTGTGATCTATCTATATACCTGCATGCTTGTACTTGTTAGGGTATGATCACTGTATTGTTTGTTCTCTGTATATAACTCTGCATGTGAACTGGCCGTGTGGCCCTTTGCTTGTGCTCAGACTGTGTGGTGACTTTGTGATCCACCCTGAGCTTGCTTTGCTTTTCTTGACTGGTCTTGTGACCATTACTTGTTCTGGCTATCCCCCACTTCGCCTATGGGGGTGTGTCAAACATATATGCTTAGTTATATCTAGGCTTAGTTCATGTGTTTACATTTGTCTAGGCTATAGTGGGTTTAGCCTTAGGGGGTACAGAATTCTCTTGACATTCTACTTGTACCCTTCCTTGTTTCCTAGTCAATCATTCTCACCTAAGATTCTAACACTTCGGAGCTCAGCGTGACTACGAGCTGCACTCTCTTGACTTCAGCATAGCTTTCTTGCAGGGCAACCTGCACGAGGACATCTGGCTGCGCCGTCCACCTGGCTCCACTGGGTCGTTTCCTGCAGGTACCCAGTAGAGCCTCAGGCGGCCAGTCTACGGTCTCCGCCAGGCGCCTCGCGAGTGGCACGACACACCGAGGACTACACTTGCGGCTCTTAGGTTTGCTCCTTCGACTGCTGAACCGTCGCTGTTTCTACGCACCGACACTTCGCTGCCGCCGTTCTACGTCCTCGTGTATGTCGACGACTTGGTCTGTGCCACTGCTGACACTGAGGCACTGGCCCTTGTGAAGTTGGAGCTGCAGAAGAGACACACCTGCACTGACCTGGGTGAGCTGCGCAACTATCTTGGCTTGCAGATCACCCTGGACAGAGCACGGCGCACCATCACCCTGACTTAGCACGGCGCACCATCACCAGGTTCTTCAGCGCTTCGGCTTCCGGTACTCCTCGCCATAGTCCACTCCTCTGCCTACCGGTCACTCACTCTCAGCTCCACCTTCGGACGAGTCCATAGAGCCGAGTGGCCCGTATCCAGAGCTTGTGGGCTGTCTCATGAACCTGATGACTTGCACTCGACTTGACCTTGCTTACCCTCTTAGCATCCTGTCACGCTACGTTGCACCCGGGAGACACCGACCAGAGCACTGGGAGGCCGCTAAGAGGGTGTTGCACTACTTGTGCAGTACTTCGGGCATGGGGCTCGTGCTTGGAGGACGGGGTCCAATTGTCCTCACATGACACGCAGACGCTTCTTGGGTTGACGACTTGGCTACGTAGCGGTCGTCACATGGTTACACCTTCAGCCTTGGCTCCGGCTCTGTTTCTTGGCGGTCTAACCGCTCGTCTTCTGTTCTCAGTTCTAGTTGTGAGACTGAGATCTACGCAGGGGCCATGGCTGCATAGGAGTTACGCTGGCTCACCTACCTGCTGAACGACTTGGGGGAGCGGCCTTGTTCTTCTCTAGTTCTGTACGTAGACAACAAGGCCATGATTGCCTTGTGTCAGGAGCACAGACTGGAGCACAGAATGAAGCACATTGCTCTGCGTTACTTTCTTGTTCGAGAGCTGCAGCAGCGTGGTCAGCTTCGTCTTGCTTACGTGGCCTCTCGGGCCAACACTGCTGATATATTCACCAATTCACCATACCCAACACACTTCAGTCTGATGATCATCAGCGTTTCTGTACTGTTTTAGGCCTTCTGCCTACCTTGCTTCACTCGCTCACTTCGTGACTTTGCTTGTACTGTGATCTATTTATATACCTGCATGCTTACTCTTGCTAGGCTATGATCAGTGTACTGTTTGTTCTCTTTTATATAACTCGGCATGTGAACTGGCCTTGTGGCCTCTGCTTGTGCTCGGAATGTGTGGTGACTTTGTGATCCACCCTGAGCTTGCTTTGCTCTTCTTGACTGGTCTAGTGACTACGTGTTCTCCCCCACTTTGCCTATGGGGGTGTGTCAAAATGTTATCAAACTTATATTGTGTAGGCTCTAGCGGGGTAGCCCATAAGGGGTACAACCAAATTAGGGTTAGTAGTTGTACCAACTTTTCTGCTCTATGCATTTTTTCTGTGAGGTGGTGCAACGAGGTGAGGCAGAAGATGCCGCTGAGATCCATTTCTGTCTGCCCTGCCGCTGCTGCCGCCCACAAAGTGAGCATTGCATGCAGTTGTAGAGAACATTTGCAGTTGCCCCCTCAAGTCCCCTGCCCCCCGTACACCCCACTCCCATCGAACCGCCCCCGCCCTCCCCCAGCCGCCCGATTTCGCTCTCCACCCCCCCGACCGTGTGCGGCTTCCAACCGCCCAACGCTGGTGCGCACGAGCAAGCCTCCCCGGGGGGCCCCCACCCGCTGAGTCGTTGTTCGGGCAAAAAAGCCGAAACAAGAATATCGGATGCGCTAAATTGTCCTTTCTTTTTCCCGCTTGCCCCTCCCCGGCACGTGCCGAGCAAGGGGCATAAATGGGTACACCACAAGGACTTCCCGGGAGGTCACCCAGCCCAGTACTGCTCTCGCCCACCGGTGCTTAGCTTCAGAGTTCTGATGGGATCTGGCATAGTAGCCGAGGTATGATCGTACCACATTGATCCCGTGCCCCGACCGGTACACACCCCTTGCCCGGACCCCCCTTCATAGTCACACCCCCTGCCCCCTCATGCCATCTGCTCCCCGTGCCCCTAACCTCCGCATGCCCGCCCCCTTGCCTCCTCCTTTGACCCTCCCCGTCCCCCTCGCCGTTCCCCACCGCCCGCCATTCGTTCCTCCCCGCCCGTGCCCTCCCCTCGTTTACCTTCTCCTCCCCCCTCCCCTCCTCCGCTGCACGCGTCTTCCTTCCCCTCGTCAACCTACTCCACTCCCTGCCCCTCCTCAATCCGCACCCTGCCCCTCGTTTCTCGGCCCCCTGCGCTTGGTTTCTCCCCTCCCTGCCCCTCGCTGCCTTTCATCGCTCCCCTCCTCCCCCCTCTCCCCGCTCCCCCACTCTCCCCCCCTTGTCCTTGGCTTCCCACCTCCCTGCCCCATGTTTCCCCCCTCTGTGTGCTCAGCCTCTCCCTCCTCCCCGCCCTGCCCCTCATTTTCCGCTCCCCCTTTGCCCGGTTTCTCCCCTCGCTGCACCTCCCTTTCTTTCTCCGTGCCTCTCCCTTGTTCCCTCCCTGCCCCTGGCCGCCCATGCCCCTGTCCTTGGTTTCTCCCCTCCCTGCCCCACGTTTCTCCCCTCCCTGCCCCACGTTTCTTCCCTGTCGAGGCGGAGGCTGGCCCGACCGCTCCCGCTGCTGTTCCGTCTGCTCCGCCTGCGTCACCAGGCTCCCTGGCTCCCCTTGGCGAGCCGTCGGCGTCTGCCCCTGCTGGGGGTGTTGCTGAACCCCCTGCATCTGTCCCTGGCGCCCGTGTTGCGCCGAGCGCATCTGCCCCCTGCCTACCTGCGCAGGTCTCTGCTTCGTCACCAAAGGCGGCGTCCGCCACCACTGGTGAACCGGCTCCGTCGGTTGCGCCTGCGGTGATGGGTCAGTCTGCTCCCGCTGTGACGGCGGTGGTTCCTGCAGGCCAACGTTCACGCCCTCCGTCGCCTGACCGTCGCTCGTCGCGGCCCCATTCCCCCGCTCCCCACCAGGAACGCAAATCATCTCGTCGCCGGCGTGAGTCTCCACGGCGGTACCAGCAACAGTCGCGCTGGCCTGCTCACCCCGGGGGTCGCGGGGATTGGAGGGGTTCCCGTGCTCGTGGCGGGGGTGGGGGGTATCGCCCGCCTGTGACGATGGCGGATCTTCAGCGGGAAGTGTCGAGGGCGGTTCGGGAGGAGAGGGCGGCGCAGAGCCAGAGCAGTTTGCTGCGCGCCTTGCCAGCCCGCGAGGCTCCCCGTCCGGCTGCGCTCCCCCCAAACCCGCAGCCTGTTGCTGCGCCTACCCCCAGATCCAGGCGCTGCCAGCTCCTTCTCCCGCTGTATCGGCGCCTGCTCCCGGCTCTCGGTTAGGGGAGCAGAATGAACCCAGAACTGAATAATGAGGCTCTAGGACAAAGTCCTAAGGCCTTTATACTAGGCTGGAGAGGGCTGGAGAGGCTAAGGACTAGGCCTCTCTCTCTCTCTCTCTCGCTCTCTCTCCCGCTCGGTTAGGGGAGCAGAATGAACCCAGAACTGAATAATGAGGCTCTAGGACAAGGTCCTAGGGCCTTTATACTAGGCTGGAGAGGGCTGGAGAGGCTAAGGACTAGGCCTCTCTCTCTCTCTCTCTCTCTCTCTCTCTCTCTCTCTCTCTCTCTCTCTCTCTCTCGCTCTCTCTCCCGCTCGGTTAGGGGAGCAGAATGAACCCAGAACTGAATAATGAGGCTCTAGGACAAGGTCCTAGGGCCTTTATACTAGGCTGGAGAGGGCTGGAGAGGCTAAGGACTAGGCCTCTCTCTCTCTCTCTCTCTCTCTCTCTCTCTCTCTCTCTCTCTCTTTCTCTCTCTCTCTCTCTCTCTCTCTCTCTCTCTCTCTCTCTCTCTCTCTCTCTCTCTCTCTCGCTCTCTCTCCCGCTCGGTTAGGGGAGCAGAATGAACCCAGAACTGAATAATGAGGCTCTAGGACAAGGTCCTAGGGCCTTTATACTAGGCTGGAGAGGGCTGGAGAGGCTAAGGACTAGGCCTCTCTCTCTCTCTCTCTCTCTCTCTCTCTCTCTCTCTCTCTCTCTCTCTCTCTCTCTCTTTCCCCTCCCCCCCACCCCCCACCCACATCCTCCCATTCTGCCCCTCCCTGCCCCTGTTCCACCCCCTCGCACGCCCCTCGCCTCCCACCTCCGTGCAACTGGTTTCCCCCCTGTGGTGCTTCCCTTGCATCGCTCGCCTCTCTGCTCACCCGCTGCCCGCCCCTTTTCCTTGCCCTCAGCTGGCCCAGCCCCTGCCCGTTGCTGCCCCTCCCCTTGCCCCCTCAACTCCCCTGCCCCCCCGTACACCCCACTCCCATCGAACCGCCCCCGCCCTCCCCTGGCTGCCCGGTTTCGCTCTCCATCCCCCCGACCGTGTGCGGCTTCCAACCGCCCAACGGTGGTGCGCACGGGCACGCCTCCCCGGGGGGCCCCCACCCCACTGGGTCGTTGTTCGGGCAAAAAAGCCGAAACAAAAAATATCGGACGCGCTAAAATCGTCCTTTCTTTTTCCCGCTTGCCCCTCCCCGGCACGTGCCGCGCAAGGGGCATGCATAAACGGGTACAACACGAGGACTTCCCGGGAGGTCACCCAGCCCAGTACTGCTCTCGCCCACCTTTGCTCCCCCTGCCCCTAACCTCCGCGTGCCCGCCCCCTCGCCGCCTCCTTTGACCCTCCCTACTAAGGAGCCTCCTAAACCTACTATTTCGAGTTGCGTAAGGACAATCGCGTTGGTAAAGTTGTTTATATCATTGTTATAACGATTTCTTACAGTTAGTTTTTGTGTTTCGATGGAGCGGTTTGCGCTGGTGAAGAGTGTCGAGAGGATCGCAAGGGTCCCGCGTTTAGCGGGAACCACTCGCGAACTGGTCGAAATGGTCCGCGCCTGACTGAGGCGAGCGCGGAGTGGCGGGAAATGAATGGGCGAGGTGGAGCGAGTCGTTTTGCGCGGTTACACACCCGGGGACGAGTTCGACTTTGCTCCCGCCAGTAACGTTGCTCCCGCCCTAACTTTCCCCCCTTCTATTTCCTTCCCGATCCCCTCTCTCTCGACATTCGACTATAGTTCCTTTTTAGTTTAGACTTTTAGGAGATGCCGTTTTCCTAGCAAATAGTCGCGTGCGACTCGCTTATTTTCGTTGCCCGCCGCTTAACACATTGATTCTTTTACTCCGTTAGCACGTGACAATTAGCCGTCGCGAAGGGAAACACGGTAGGCCACGAGACCGCCGTTTTTCTCTTGCGGCGGTTACGCGGCCCCCCTTTCCCCTGCCGCGATCGATATAGCTTCCTCGGCGCCCAGCCGCTTTTAGGACTTAGACGCGCCGACGCCAGTATACCGCCGCTCCTATCTCTTCCTCTCACCCTAATTCGACCATATTTGCTACATAGCTTGAGTTTGGACGGGTGGAAGGGGTAGGAACGCAAGAGCCGCCCGTACGGACGTGTCGCTCGTCGCGCCAGCTTATTTAGCTAGCATAATTGCCGCCAGCACTGCCTACACAGTCCGCCGCTTGCTCTGCCCACGCTTCCGCCGCTAGCAGCCACATACGCGCCGCTAGCAGTCACATACCCGCCGCTAGCAGTCGCGTTCCCGCCTCTAGTAGTCGCGTACCCGCCGCTAGCAGTTGCATACCACCGCTAGCAGCCACGTATACACCTCTCCCCTCCCTGCCTCTCCCTCGCTCCCCGCTACTCTCGTAGCAGTTGCATACCCGCCGCTAGTAGTGATGTACACGCCGCTAGCGGTCACGTACCCGCGGATAGCATTTCCCACACCCTAGAAACACAACCAAAGTAAGAAAGAAGGAAAGAAAGAAAAAATACAAGAGGCGACAAGTCGTCCTAGGGTTGCGAAGCGTTTTGCAATATTTCACACCATACAATATCACACAATATTATATATAGTATTGTCGCCTATATATAATATTGTGTGATATTGTACACAATGTTGTAACAGGTTTGGCACTTAATTTTAAATTGTGTCCGCATGGAAGAAAACACTCGCGCGCAAGAATCGAACCTCCCACCTTAAGACACCATTCGACCGACTGCGCTTGAAGCAACGTTACGGATATGTGTTTTAAATTATTGTTAAAATTTCTTTGCGAATCTGCAATCGTTAGGGTTTGTTCCCCGTTTCTTTCTTCTCTCTTCCTCTCCTGGTTTCTCTTGGTGTGCTCCAGCTTCCCAAGCTCCACCTACCACTCTAAGGTCAGAAGTTGTTCTACTAATGTTTTAGAACTAAGTTAGGTGATAGTAATAAACTAAGTTAGACTAGCATGTTTTTTATGGTCGTATTCTACTCGTCTACTTAGTGTTGGTCGTTCTAAGGGGCTGCAAACTGTTTCTGTATTAGGTTCTAGGCTTTCTGTAGGACTTCAGCTTATCTCATCACGTGGTATTCCTTACGTCGTTCACCTTGCATCCGTTGTCCATTCCCTATCGCGCTCTTTACCTTTCCATGATTAGATAGGCTCTTTGGTGGTTGTTTCCTTCTATTTTTTCTCTAGTCCCTCCTATGTTCTTTCTTTTCCGGTCTCATTTTTTCTATTTCTTCATATGTTATCTGATTCGTCCTTCTATTTACTGGGGTTCCTTATTTAGAGACATTTCACTTGGATTTGATGTCTTTCTTGTTGCTCTATCCTTCACCCTTTTTTTTCTCTTTCGACTTTCGTTTATTTCTCGATCTTCATTTGGTCGACATAGTATATTTCTTTATGTTTCTGTCCCCTCTCATCTCCTTTCCCCCTTTCCCTCCATGTCAAACTTATATATACTATAGTCTGTTTAGGCTGTAGTGGGGTAGTCCTTAGAGGGTACAACACGTTTGTGTTTTCTACTTGTACCCCACCTATTTCCTAGTTCACGCATTCCTCTCATTATTCTCACATGGTATAGAGCAGGTTCCCTAGTGGAACTTTTTTCTAGGGCCCACCACTAAGAATTTTTTTGTTTCCTTACCTGCCCGAAGCGCGTTTCGCGTTTGTCCTAGTAGCGCCCCGTGCGCCTGCCCCTCGCGGCCTTCGCGGCCCTTCGCGGCCCCTTTCGCGGCCCTTCGTGGCCCCTCGCGGCCCTTTGCGCCCCCCCCCCCTTCGCGGCCCTTCGCGCCCCCCCTTCCGCGGCCCTTCGCGGCCCCTCGAGGCCCTTCGCGGCCCCCCTTCGCGGCCCTTCGCGGCCCCCTGTCGCGGCCCTTCGCGGCCCCTCGCTGCCCTTCGCGGCCCCCTGCGCGGCCCTTCGAGGCCCCTTCGCGGCCCTTCGCGGCCCTTCGCGGCCCTTCGCGGCCCCCTCACGGCCCTTCGCGGCCCTCTTCGGCTGCCCTTCGCGTCCCCTTCCGGCCCCTGCTGGCGCGCCCCCGCTGACGCGCCCCTGCTGGCGCGCCCCTCTGCCGGCCCCTGCTGACGAGCCCCTGCCGGCCCCTGCTAACGAGCCCCTGCCGGCCCCTGTTGGCGCGGCCCTTGCTGGCGCGCCTCAGCTGGCCCCTGCTGAAGCGCCCCTACTGGCGCGCCCCTGCCGGCCCCCTGCTGACGCGCCCCTGCCGGCCCCTGCAGGCGCGGCCCCTGCATTTACGGCCCGCCCCTGCACCCGTCCCTGGTAAGCCGAGCCGCGCCGCGCCGCCCAGCTGAGCCGCGCCACGCAGTCCAGCCGAGCCGCGCCGCCCTGCCGAGCCACGCCGCCCAGCCGAGCCGCGCCACTTAACCGAGCCGCCCTGCCGTGCACTGCCCTACTGCCTCTGCTCCTACTGCTGCTTTTGCTGCTACTGCTGCTACTCTTGCTACTGCTCCTACTTCTGCTATGGCTAGTCCTACAGTTCTCACCTTTGATGCTGAGGGACGTGCAGTTGATTTTGACGTGTAGGTTGACGACCTACAGCTCTTTCTTCAGTGTGATTCTAGGGATGGGGTATCCCTTTTCGATCACACGTCAGGTGTTTCCACTGCTCCTGCTGCCACTGGTGACAGTACTGTTCGCTCGCAGTGGACCACTCGTGACGCTGTTGCTCGTTTTGCTGTTCGTAGTCACCTGCCGCCTGCTGAGCGCGCGCACTTTGGCCACTACAAGACTGCTCAGTCTTTGTACGACGCTGTAGTTGCACGCTACTCCTCCCCTACCACTGCTGCCCTCAGCCGCCTCATGCTGCCGTACCTTTTCCCTGACCTTGCTGCCTTTGCCACTGTCGCTGACCTAGTTGCTCACCTTCGCGCTAGTGACGCTCGCTACCGCGCTGCCCTTCCCACTGAGTTCTGTGCCAAGAACCCCCCCCCCCCCCATGTACATCACCCTTTACTACCTAGTCACCCGCCTCCCTGACTCTCTCTCTTCAGTCAGGGACCACTTTCTCTCCCT